TTTCTGACCATTATTAAGTAAAAGAAGGGTTCTGTGAATCCACGTATTACAGTACTGCATGGTCAGTCTGATAATGAGATGCCTGCTGTGGCTAACAGGTAGGTTGTGTGTGTGTGTGTGTGTGTGTGTGTGTGTGTGTGTGTGTGTGTGTGTGTGTGTGTGTGATGTGTGATACAGGTTATATATATGGTGTATATACATTATGTATATATATGATATGGTAGACAAAGGAATGAGTAAGACATAGTGAGGTGGTATGAGAATTCTTCATGTTACCTCTAACACAATGCAATTGAAAACACAAATACTGCTTTCTGTCCTGGACTTGGTGGCCAACCCTCGGGAACTGGTGTCCAACCATGCAGCTGCCTCGGACCCAAGCGCAGGCTGAAAACTTTAAGAAACTAGTGAGCTGAATGCCTTGAAGTTGGTTCCAAGCAGGTAATGCACCCAAGGTGAAGTAGTCTCGCATGTAGTGACCAGGCTTGCCTATGTCCCACCTTAGGATTGGGGGGCAGCGTAGCAGATTCATTGTCACTGTGTTGCTGAGATAAGTGCTGAACTCCCATTTTCTAGATAAAAGAATGGGGGTTGTGTAAGAGTATCCCTGAATAGCTTGTTGTAATTGGTTGCACCGAAGGTAGTCTCCACAAATTATCCACGTTAGGGATTTTTTTTTTGGAAGGGGGGTGTCAAGTCAGGGTTTCTCTGTATACCTGGCTGTCCTGAAACTCAAGAGACTAGTCTGCCTCCGGAGTGCTGGGTTTAGAGGTCTACACCACCAGCCTGGCTATGACATGTTAGGCTTTTTGAGGTGCAAGCAAAAAGGGGATTTAAAGGACATTCCTGCTAGCTCATTAGAGTGTGTTGGTATAGGAGGTGGTGCCTGTAGCCCTCTGCATGCTAGGACAAGTTCTTTGCTAGTGCCTAGTCGTGTGCCAGAGGTCAAGATGTCATTAGCTTGTATATTGTTACATATCACTAATTTTCCAGACTCTTAAATAAAAGCTTTTCCTATGTCACCCCCCCAGAAAAGCAAAACAAATAAATAAGAAAACACAAATACTTGTTTATTTCTGGAATCTTCCATTTAATATTTTTGGACTATGGTTAACTATAGGTATCTGAAATCACAGGTGACTGGAAGCTCTGTTAATGTTCAGCAGGTACTCTATCTCCAACCCTTTAAGTGGAACCACTCAGAGAGCTGGGAGAGGACAGGCATATGCTTTATTGTAAGCAGGTGTGGACCTGCATTCACAGATTTCCATCCTGGCCACTGATTACTTATTTACACCGAGGGAACTAGAAGGCCTGCTGTCTAAGTTTGTTGCCTACAGCTGGGTAGTGACTGCCTTGAATGCTTCTGTGCTCATCAACTGCCCTGGCTGCTCTTGCTCCCTTTCCAACACATCTAGGTCAGAAGAGGTGGCTAATTTGTTCAACCATTAGTCTCCTTTCAAAGTGGAAGAAGGAGCTGTTTTTTTTTTTTATCAAAATCATAGTTGTCACTTGACTGTGTTAAAAATAGATGTAAAGTGGTATTTCATCGCTCTACACTACAAATGGATGCCAGTTACTTATAATGTTAAGAACAATAAGGCTGTGTTAGTGACTACAATACAGTTGTGATTGAGGAGAGGGATGGCAGTTGTAGTTGATCTCCAGACTCAATTTCTTTCTCTATTTTAATTTGGCTGGGCAACAGCAAGAAGGCCTTCATTGGCACAAAGAACAGACATTATACTATGCACACAGTCTCATAGCAGTAGGTCCATATCAGCCGAAGCTATAAAATCCCAGTACAGCTACAACCTGAACCAGTGAGTCAAAGCTCCAAGAAGTTCCAGCAGGAAGAAGCATCGCCCCCATTGTTGAGCAGAAATGAGTCAACTTGCTTCTGCTAACTCACCGGTGGGTATCTATTGCCCTTCGAGATGTAACATATGAGGTGTTCTCTTCAGTTTGGTTTTTAAGATTACATTTTAAAAATAGTATATACTTAAACACACACATGAGTGTGTTGTTTGAATTGTGTTCATGGAAAATTGGAACAGTTGCAATAACCCAAGGATCTCACGGGACAATCTGAGGATGACTGCTGGAGTCCCAACTGTGAGTTATTCTGGTAGCCACTGGGAAGCCGTCATTAGATGAAATGACTGCCGTTTTTGGCCTTTTCCTCCCAAATGTCAGGCTCAATGTGATCCATCAATATTTATTGAGTGCCTGTGGCCTCAGAGTCACAGTGCTTTGCTTGGTTGCGGAATGAATATCATGTAATTGCAGAAGACAAATTAATAACCTGGGATAAGAATTGGGAGGGGCATACAAGTTAGTTCTTGCTGCAAAACTTCAGACTGGATCCGGGCAGCAGTGGCTTGTCAGCATAGGGTTTTTCTAAATGGCTTCCACCTCAGAATGATGTTAAGAAAAATGGCATTTTAATTTCTGACCCTCCAACATGTCTGTGCCATAAACTCCATATGAAGCACAGTAAGACTGGATTGTTTTTCTACCCTCACACATGGCTGTCATGTTTCCTATGAGAAATGTGCAAGGTCACTAGGATCATTCAAGAATAAGGTTTATGGACACACAGAATGGTATTTGGAAACTGAAAATCGTGTTCCTTCCTGTGAACCTGCCCTCTGAGAGGCACATGGCCCTTCCTGGCACCAAGACAGAAGACAGAGATAAAAGGAAACACAGTCTAGGCCATTTGCTCCAAGAGGCTGCCTTTGGGCCCAAGATGAGAGTGCACAGCAAGATTCCTAGTCCGATGCTGATCCCATAGGAGGCAAAAATCCCTTCCTGGGGCAGGAGGAGAGGCTAACGAAGGCAAATGACAAGGGAAGGGAAATCAGAGTAACTATGAATCACCTGCTACATAGGAAGGGCAAGGAGGCAAAATGAAGTTGTGGCTGTGTTGAGGCCAGAAGCACAGAGTGTAATGCCATTTGAACTGAGAGAAAGCTGCTGACGTGTAGGCACCCGGTGACCATCAGGTGGATTCCAAAGTGGACATTTTTGTGTCACTTTCTGTGTCACTTGAAATTCCTCCTAAGTGGCATTCTGGAATAATCCACAATGGTACATACACACTATGTGTTTCAGCATAAGACATAATTGGGACCTGGCCAGATAGCTGGAAGGAACATAATAGTGCCCACTCAAGCATAGCCTGGCAGACTATAAAGAGAATGGCATGAACTGGAAGGAGTGGGAAACCCCATGGGAAAAAGTGTGTGTGTGTGTGTGTGTGTGTGTGTGTGTGTGTGTGTGTGTGTGTGTGCATGAATGAGTGAAGACACCTACAGAGGCTAGCGATATCTGATCCCACTGAGCTGGAGCTACAGGCATTGTGAGGTTGTAAGCCACTAAACATGGGTTCTGGGTCTTCTGAAAGAACAGTACACACTCTTTACCACTGATGCATCTGTCCATCCCTGAAAACCCCATCTTCTTGAGGAATAGTGCTGGTGTGAGTAATGCAAATATTTCCCTACACTCTTGCTACTTCAGACATCCCAGGGAACTCCAGGAACTTCTTAGAGGCATTGTAACCCTGTGGCACAGGAGGCCTCAGCAGTGACCTCTTTATAAGAATCACACTCAAAGACGAAAGTGTGTGCCCTTCATTACTAGTGTCTTGGTGATTTGGGTCTTGTTTGTCTTGCCATGCATATCTAGTAACAGCACCCTGAATGAGAGGTTTAAGAGATATGGGCTGGCCCAGTTGTTCAGATAGAATGGATTCCTCTTCTGCGGGGCATGGGTATTTGTTTACTCCCGTAGAATCCGCAGCCCTGAAGAAGGTCAAATAGACACTGTGCTGGCATAGGCTGGGAAAACATGGGCAACCCTTTTTGCTTGGTGGATGGTTATATCAGGAGGTACTGTGAGAAGGGGTGCACAAGGCACTTAGGAGTGAAAAAGAAACTGCTCGATTTCATTATTTTTATTGGACATTTTTCTTTTATTAAGGTAAAACTCAGATTGCATACAATTAACCAGTTTATAGTGGAGGGGATCTCAGTAACAGTTAGTGTCTTCGGTGTTTTACAGCCACCAGCTTTCAATGTCCAAACACTTCTGCATCACTCCATAAGCACACCCCCAAACAGTGACAAGCCACTCCTCAACCCCCAGCCACGTCTTGGTACTGTTCCTTTTCATGGGTGAATAATATTCCATTGTATCATGTAACACAATTTGTTTATCCATCCTAATGTCTTGTCTCCACCTGTTGGCTCTCAGCAGCGATGTGGCCTACAGACAGTCCTAGTCAAGTTTCTATGTGCATGTGTTTCATTTCTCTGAAATACACACTCTGGCCTTGTTCAAAATCAAAGCCATCTTAGTGGAGGTGAAGTGGCATTTCAATGTTATGGTTTGGCTAAGTGTCCCCCAAAGGCCTATGTGTCAAAGACCAAGTTCCCAGCCTGTGACACTCTTGAGAAGTAGTGGAACATTTAAGAGGTGAGAACCTAGAGGGAGGAGGAGTCTGTTGACTCAGGCACATCCTTGAGGGGGATACTCGGACCCTAGCTCCTTGCTGACTGCCTTTGCATCCAGCAGACATGAAATTCCGACCTTTGTCCACCACTGGCTCTTACCATGATGTGCAATCGGCTAAGCCACCAAGGAGCCAGTAGAACTGGGAGCCAAAGGACACATTTCTTCCATGGAAATCCCTTCTCTCTGGTATGTTACACTCATTTTGGCTTTTCGTTTTTGAGACAGGCTCTCAGTTGAAGTGGAGGCCAACCTTGAAGTCATAAACCTCTGACTCCCACATCCCTGACAGATGTACATCACCAGGTCCAGCTTCATTATAGTTTGCATTTGCATTTCTTTAATGATTAGGGATGTGGAATGATTTTTGCCATGTTTATTGGTCATTGGTGTATTTATGGCATATCTTTGGGGAAATTTTCTGTTCAAGTTCTTTGCTTAGTTCTTAATTGAACAATTTGTTTTTTAGGTTTTTTTTGGGGGGGGGGAGGTGAGTTATATTTTTCTACCAAGTTATAAGAATTCTTTTTCTTTTTGTACTCAGGGTATTAAGCCTTTATCCAAGTTTATTAGTTTTTGACTTGCTCCTTTGTGTTTTTTCTAACCTAAGAACTAATTGCCAAACCAGCGTCCTAAAGATTTACCCTATGTCTTCTTCCAATAGCCCTGTAGATTGATTAAGCCTCTAAATTTAAAGATTTGATGTGTTAATTTTTGTATGACTGTGAGGTAGCCATTCAAATTTCATTGTTCTGCATGTGGTTACATGGCTGACCCAATAGCATTTCTTCCACTGAATTGTTTGGGCATCCTTGTTGAAAAACAATTGATGATAAAGGTTTAGGATTATTTCTGGAATTTTCTATTGTTTTCCATTGGTTTATCTTTCTCCTAGTACTAAATCACCTTGATTACAGTAACTTTGGAGTAGGTTTTGAAACAAAGATTTTTTTCCTTTTTCAATGCTGTTTCAAATATTCAAGATTCCATATATAAAGTTAACGATTGGAAACTTTGATGGGGCAGTAGCTAGCTTTGGAGACCATTGCCATCTTACTATTTTTCCATTCATTCAACACACAAAATTTTATTTATGTACACATTTGAGCAATATTTTGTAGTTTACTGTGTACAAGTTGTTTACCTCCTTGATTACATTTACTCCTAGGTTTTAAAAAATGCTTTTACATGCTATCATAAATAGGATTTTCTTCATTTTTAAATTGTTTTTTTCCTGGCATACAGAAGCACAACTAATTTTGATGTGTTGGTTTTTATATCCTACAATCTTGCTGAATGTATTTATTGACTCCCATAATTGAGCGGCTATGTTTTATGGGATTTATTTATATATTAATATAATGATATTGTCCACATACAGTTTTGCTTTTCCTTTTGTATGTGTATATGTGCTCACACACATGCACATGTATGTCAGAGGACAACAGGTATCATTCTCAAGACTGCCATCTACCTCCTTTGATACAGGGTCTCTCATTGGTCTGGAGCTCACCAAATAAGTCAAACTGGCTAGCCAGTGAGTTCTAAGGATCTCCTGTCTCTGTTTCCCCAGTGCTGAGATTACAAGCACGTGCTACCATGCCTGGCATTTTTTGCACAGGTTTTAGGGACAGACTCAGGCCCCTTGTTTGAGAGGTAAGTACTTTACTTGACTAAACCATCTTTCCAGCCCCTACTTTTTCCTAATTTTCAAATTTAGATGGCTTTCCTTCTTTTTTCCTTTATAGATCCATTTTTCATTATTCTTAGTATGCAATCTATCTTGATCATTTCCACCCCATCCCCCAACTACCCACTGCCCCCTAACACATCTCCTTCCTAGATTCATGTCCTCTTTTATTAATATTTTTGTGCGGCATATATTCTGATATTCATATATTCTTTCAGCCATAGAGAAAAGTGAAACCATGTTGTTTGCAGGAAAATGGGTACAAGTGGGGGATTAAGTCCATCTAAGAAAAGAAAATGTCATATATTTTAAGTTCCATTTCTCTAATTTGCAATTCCTAGATTATATACACATATATATGCATATATATAGTAATGATAGCAGAAACAAAACTATCTCGGGGAACAAACACTTTTGCTCAACTACTCTGGCTAAGATTCCCAGTTGATAGCAGAGGTGCAAAGAATAAACGGGTCTTCCTGATCTTAGGAGAAAAACTTTCAGTCTTTTATTGGACAAGGAAAAAAACATTCTCCCCTTGGCAAAATCAGAGAATGAATTTGACAAGAGTCAACACCCTTTCATAATGAAAACGTGGCAAATTCAGAATGGAAGGCAAACTCTTTGCCATGATAAAAAGCACTTACGACAAAACCTACCATCCAACTATGTGATAGAGACTGTTTGGTGCATACATATTTTCAATTGCTGTATCTTCACTATTATTTATTCCTCTTATCAATAAAATGTACTTTGTTTCTTTTGTTTGTTTGCTTGCTTGATTTTTCAAGACAGGGTTTCTCTGTGTAGTCCTAGCTGTCCTGCAACTCATTCTGTAGACCAACCAGGCTGGCCTCAAACTCACAGAGATCCACCAGCTTTTGCCTCCGAGTGGTGAGATTAAAGGCACGCATCACCACCACCTGGGGTACTTTGTTTCTTATAAGTTTTTACTTAAAAATTGATTGATTATGGCTCATATTAGTGTAGCGACCACTTCAGCTTCGTTGTGGTTATTATTTGCATGGACGTGCTCTTTTATGTGTACGTATATCTGCGTACGCCATATGTAGGCAGGTGCCTTCAGAGGACAGAAGTGTCGGATCCCTTGGAGCTGGAATTACAGATGGTTGTGAGCCTCCTGACGTGGGTGCTGAGAAACAAACTCAGATCTTCTGCAAGAGTGTGAAGTTAACTACTGTTAACATCTGAGCCACCTCTCCAGCCCCAGAAAGTTTTTAATACAACCTTCCATTATCTGTATTTTAGTTGAATTTCCTTCACTTATATTTAAAGTGAGTATTGATAATTAACTATTTAATTCTGCCATTGTGTAATTTTTCCATATATCTTCCATTTCTTTTGTTTCTCGATTCTTCCAGTTACTACCTTATTTTGTGTTGGATGTGGTGTATTTTTGCAGTATATCCTTTTGATTCCTTCCCTGTTTCCTTTTTTTCTATATTTTTTAGTTATTTTTTAATGACTACCATAGGAACATATTTAACATCTAGCTAATCTCCTTTCCGAATCTCCCTCTAAAACAGATTTTATTGTTTAGAAGAGTTTTAATTTTGCATGAAAATTGAAGAGAAAGTTCCCCTTCCCCTTCACAGTCTTCCCTACCATCAGCATCCTGCACCAGAATGATACATTTGCAGCATCTGAAGGGCCCACACTGTCACATACTTATTAGTCCAAGTCTATAGTTTACATTAGGAGGGTACACTGCTGGTATTGCGTGTCCTTCAGGTGTGATGATGTATTGAGAAGTGTATCCACAATTAAAATATCATATGAATGCTTCAACTACACTAAGTATCCCTTGCTTTGCATATTCATTCCCACAACCATAAACATTTAGGCACAACTCTTCATGATCATTCCTTTTTAACAATTATAATAAGTCAACACCAATTAAATGCATCCTGTGAACTAAGAATCATATTGTACATTTTTCAATAGCCTGATGATTTTTTTTCCATTTTACAAAGTAAGAATGAAATTCAAACAAGTTGTCCCTTATACATGGCTACCTAAAGTGGCAAAGCCAGGATTCAAATCAAGCTTGTTGGGCTCCAGAGACTGAGCTTTCTACCAGTCACTATTGGTCTTGATGAAGATGATGGTGATGACAATGATGGTTATGGTGGTGGCAATGGTAGTGGTGATGCTGATGGTGGTGGTGATGCTGATGGTGGTGGTGATGCTGATGGTGGTGGTGATGCTGATGGTAGGGGTGATGCTGATGGTAGGGGTGATGCTGATGGTGGTGGTGATGGTGATGGTGTTGGTGATGCTGATGGTGGTGGTGATGCTGATGGTGGTGGTGATGCTGATGGTAGGGGTGATGCTGATGGTGGTGGTGATGCTGATGGTGGTGGTGATGCTGATGGTGGTGGTGATGCTGATGGTAGAGGTGATGCTGATGGTAGGGGTGATGCTGATGGTGGTGGTGATGGTGATGGTGTTGGTGATGCTGATGGTGGTGGTGATGCTGATGGTGGTGGTGATGCTAATCGTAGGGGTGATGCTGATGGTGGTGGTGATGGTGATGGTGGTGATGATGCTGATGGTGGTGGTGATGGTGATGCTGATGGTGGTGATGCTGATGGTAGGGGTGATGCTGATAGTAGTGGTGATGCTGATGGTAGTGGTGATGCTGATGATAGTGGTGATGCTAAGCACTGATGGAAGCAGTTCCTAAAATAGGCTGTGAGGCCCTGCACCAGGTGTTTTATGTACTCTACTAGATCCTTATGATAGTGCTCTGAAGTGGGTACTATTGCTGTTTTCTTGTGAATGATCAAACTGAGGCTCAGATAGGTTAAGACAGCAATCTTCCTCGAAGGCAGAGACTCTCCTGAGTGGAGGCTAGTGGCTGCTGTTGTTGAAGGCCTACCATCTCTCTCTACAAATGAAGATAGTAAAGGTACAGGACTAAGTCCATTCCTGAAAATGAATTTCTTGGTCGGTTTTGTAGGTCTGTATCTGGAAGCTGACAGGTTGGTCTGGTTTAGTAAGGTCAATATCCACAGCCCTGACTTATCTGAGCCCTTACTCGCTTTCCCAAGACTCGTGGTGTGTCTGACAGCAGTGCTTTCCTACAGGCACGACAGACTCTGCCTCAGCCATGGTTATTGTCTTTCTAGTCAGGGGAAGACTGCTCCCAGGCTTGTGGGTACATGACTAGTGCTCAGAAATAGCCCCCTAATCGGCCTCATCAGCTTTGAAGGAGGCCACAGCAGGAGGGGCCTAAGTAGGCCAACACTTTAACCCAGTTACGTGAGGGCAGCTCTAATCCAGGATGATCAGATCTTGCTAAACCCTCTAGGGGAAAAATGGCCAAAAGCTGTTTCTTGACTCCAAGTATCCCAGGTTTGCTGCAGACACGCCTTTTTCCTTCTGGACGAGCATGACCTGAAGGTTATAATGGGCCAAGCTTAACTTGCAAGGCAGCCAGGCTTTTAGCAGCCGGCAACTGCTCAGGCTATTGGAAATACCCAGGGTTCAAGCTGACTCAGGTCAAACCATTGGTTTTCCTTGAAAGGCCCACTGGCTCCCCTTCCTCCACCTTGAGAAAGCCAGGAAATCACTGCCTTCCTCTGTGTGGGCCAGACAAGCACTTACGTCAACCTAGACGCTTCTGGACAGGCTAGGCTCTGCCTCCTCTCTGCTACTGCTGCTGCCAGCTCACCTCATGTCTGGCGGTTGACTAACCTAAAGTTCCTTAGGGAACCAGACTGAGCTGTCTTTCTAGGCTGTGGTTGGGAAACAAATAAAAACAAAACAAAACAAACAACAATAATGAAAAAAAACCAGAGCTGTTGGACCTGGCCCGGTCTGGTTTGTCTGGCTCTCTCTCCTTCATTTGGCACAATGGTCTTCCTGATGCAGGTGTACTTGGCCTCCTCAGTATTGTGTCCCCAAAACCACTTGTCTAGGAAGAGAGTTCAACAGAATGAATCCCTCAGGTAGGAAGCAGAAAGCTTGTCTGGCCTCATGGATGCTTGTAGAGAAAGAAGACGGTCTTGGGTTTATGTATTTTTTCATTGACATGGGGTCTTGCTCTGTAGCCCAGGCTGTCTTCCCAACTTGGAGTCCTCCTGCCTCAACATCCCAAGTGTGAGGATTCCAAGTACTGGGATTTCAGGCCCGTACTACCACATCTAGGTTGGACAAAGTGTGATAATGATGTCACATGCTAAAAGTTTATAATTTTTTCACCAAGGGGTTTTCTGTAGCAGGAAAGTGACTTCCTTGAAGAAGGGAAGAAGAAACAATTCCAGTATTTAAAGCAACTCTAAAGCACTTTAGGCTGTAAGATAGCTCTTCTTTTATACCACTGGAAGTGAAAGAAGGTGCATGTCATTGATCATAAGGTGCATTCAGCTTTCTAGAGATATTAAAACATGACCAAAAATGTCTTAGAGCCAAAGAAAAAGAGAAAAATCCATTAAAACAAAGATAGCACCTCTTCTACACACACCACATCCCCACAGATTTCCACAACATAGGGCGCATAAAGGCACAGCGGGTGAGTGCAGTCAAAACCCCAGTAGCTGCTAATGGCTACTCTGAGGACAAGCTGTGTGATGAAACGCAGAGGCCAACTACTCTGCCCCCTATCCCTCATGCCCAGAAGGGGCCCTCTATGGTACCTCCTCAGAATCTATGAAATGTAGAGGAATGATTTCTAACTGTCTGGAGGAGCGTCAATTGCACTGGTAATGTTCATTCCCTTAAGTTGGATTTAGCTGTTACTCTTCGTGCCTTTTAGATGTCTTAAAAGGTTTCATAAAAGCACCGCTGTAGACTGTCAGGTCAAAGAGATGACTCAGAACCTGGGGGCTTAAAGCAAGTACAAGAACAACAGAAAAGTTTGCCTGGAATTATGTGCTTGAATCAGGCCTCAGCATTGACATTCTCTACCTGATCCCCACCCCCCCACCACTGCCTTCCAGGCCATAAATACACAGCATTTATGAGCCTGGCCACTCTGGCACACTCCAAACATAAGGTAGATCCAAAGATGCATAGGAAGGGCCTGCGTTCCCATGAGACATAATGCTGGAGGGTCCAGGATCTTTGTGGACAAATGAAACAGCGAAGAGGTTGTGCTCTTGGCTGTTACGGAAGAGGAACCTGTAGACAGAGCGGAGGCAGGTTAGCGCCCCCTCTGAAAACCCCTGGGAAAAGGAGGTTAAAGGACAAGAGTCGGCGGGGAAAGCTGGTGGCTGGTTCAGAGGTGGGGCTGGGACTGAGTTGTTGGACAACAGACTAGACCAGCGGCTCATGCTATTGTCCAAGACCCTGGCAGGGATAGGCCAAGGCAGGATCCACCTTTATTACCGAGCCTTGCCTTATGAGATGCTGGGATCCCAGGCAGCTGACCCATCAAGGTTAGGGAGTCTTCTGTGGAATGTGTCTATCAACTGGAGCAATCTCTCCTACTGCCCTTCTGGAAGGCTTAGAAGGCCCTTGTTCTGCAACTTAGCCATCTCAATGCTACACATAATGCTGACTGGGAGAAACGAGTCAGGCCGACTTTGAATGAGGCCGTCCTTGTCTGCTGAACCTGGAGCTCACCCTTTTTTTTTCCCAGCTAGCCTGGCAGGACAGCAAGCCCCAGCAGCCTTCTTGTCTCCTTCCCATCAGTGCTGGCATCACAGGAACATCTAGGCAAGCCTGGCTTTTACATGGATTCTAGAGATCAGAACTCGGATCCTTATGGTTTCCCAGCAGTCCCTTATCCAGTCATCTCCCCAGACCTCTCTTCCCTCTCCTCTGAGAGCTGGGCCCCTAAGCCATGGTCTCCCTAGCAATCTAACACACCCAAAAGGCAGTAGAGCCCAAGAGAGGTGAAGCTTATAGTACTGGTTTCTAGCTTCTTGCTTATTACTGAGCCTCACTTGACTCAGCTTCTCCCCTTAAGTGGGAACCACATTGCCAGTCAACTCCCAGAGCATCCAGGGGGAGTATTTCGGGAACACATGGAGAGGCGCTGAACACTGGGACTGGCACACAGTTGTAGTTATTGCTTTACAGAGTGGGAACCTGAGCAGCAAATGAAATTCAAAACCAAGCTGGTTATTTCTAGTCTGGGATTATAAGGTGCTGCATGCTTCACAGCCTGGGGGCCAACATCTGGCCAACGGGGGTGAGAGGGGTCCTCCTGCACTGACTGTCACTATGCATCCCTTCTAGAAGTGGCAGCATCAGCAAAACAGGCAGAGGACTTTGGATAAGCACAGCTGGCTATTGCCAAAGGGCACTGTTATCTTGCTTATTGGCCAAGGGACAGTCTGACCCTAAATGGATACTGCTTACTTGAAGGGCATTTGGGGGCTATGGGCCAGAAGTCAACATGTTTTAAAGTTGCGTTCTTTCTGTGTGTGTGTGTGTGTGTGTGTGTGTGTGTGTGTGTGTGTGTGTGTGTGTATGTGTGTGTGTGTACCCTCACCCACATGAGTTCAGAGGTCAGAAATGACTGAGCAAGGTCGTCCCATCGATTGGCCAGACTAGCTATCCAAGGCCCTGGAATCTGTCTCCATCCCCAAGGGCTGGGGTTAAAAGTTCATGCTGTTGTACTTGGCTTTTCCATGTGTATTGGCGATTCAAACTCAGGTGCACTTGCTTGTCCAACAAACACTTTATACACTGAGCCATCTCCCAAGCCCCAGAGTTGCATTGTTTGACCTCCCCATCTAGCCTAGCCAAACCATGGGGTCCAGAGAGCCTATGTCCCTGGCTGATAAGCTCCCCTCAGAGTGAATGGCCTGACAGGCTCCAGGAACCTCAGTGGAAGTAGGCCGTGTATGGGAAATCAAGGCAAGTCACTGTGCTGCCCATGTGGCCAAGCTATGCTGAGCCCAGCCACCCTGGCTTGGGGAGGTGTTGACTACTTCATGACACACCAGGCCAGCAAATGACCCCTTTTGTCTCCTTTGCAAAGCCTTCTTAAGAGGGTTCTGAGAAGCAAGGCCAGGATGCCTGAGTTCTCATAAATCTTTTAATAACAGTAAATGAAGAAAACATTATAACAATAAGTCCCATGGGGAGGGTGCCTTTTCATTCAGGGATCTTCAACAGCAGAAACACCTGAGGCTAAGATTCAAAATGCTAAGTACACAAATTAAGGACCATTTATTTCCAAAGGTGGCTACAGAAACCACTTCAGCACAATCAAAGGGGTTTTACAAAACAGAGAAAACACATTACAAAATCCCCCAAAGAGGGGAGGTAGACTGGAGGTGGGGGAGTAAAGAACACCCCAGAAGCAGCCTAACAAAGAGGCTCGATCTTGCTGCCATCTAGGGAGTTCAGAGATTGGCTCTCAAGGGAGCCTTGCACATGAGGGTGACAGTACATGGCAGTCTCAGCATGAGAAGAAGGATGGAGGAAGAGGCGTTCACCAATGTCCCAGAAGAAATAATTGTACATCATTCAATTCCATTCTCTTCACGACAATTGCATCAAATAATTGAAGAATGCTTTAAAATCTAATATAACATTGACACTAAAATGAATCAAGAGTTTCCAAAACATCATTTCTGCTTAAGACGACTTTTGTTTTTGATTTGTTTATCATTGAGTGGGGGGTAGGGGTCTGTTTAGTGGCCCAAGTAGCAAATCAGTGGACAAAAGTGTCTCAGACAAGGGCCACGGCAAGTACCGTGGTCTTCCTGCAGTTGTATATGCCAGAGGAAGACTGACTCCCCTCGTAGACTCCTACCTCAGAGAGGGCAAGGCCAGGAGAAGACTCAGGACACTCCTTCCCAGTCTTGGGCCTGCCCACGTTGCCTGGGAGGCCCGGTCCTGGCTCACTGAAACCAACAGCAGTGTCTTGTCCTAGAGTGTCAGAAGGCCCCCTTTCCCTCCCCACAAGTCTCCCTTCTAGTAGAAACTATTAAGAAACTCCTCTCCCAGTCAAGACAGGTGACAGAATCCCAGGGAAGTCCATTTGGCAGCAAGAGGGCTCAAAGGGCCCTTGGCATCTCCTGAACACCCAGCTCAACACAACTCAGAGCATTACCTAACCCCAGTTCCTCTGTGTAGAGCCCTGCTGACGCTGAGCTGTCTGTGAAGCTGGTAATTACATCACAAAACACTGAATCTTCCACGACCACATACAGCAAAGCCCCACCAGAGGCTACAGCAAAAGGGACGATCTGACAGGCACTCTAGAGCAGCGCGGGATAAAGCACATGGCCGACCCCGCGTAGCCACTTAGACCCTGTCAAGCCACAGGTACAGAAGTCCACAGACAGACAGAAGGCAGACTCAAGAAAGGTGGAGGTGGTGGCTCCAGAACCCCACAGTGCATCACAGGATGACAGAAGTACTTGCTGCTAGGCTTCTGAGAGGATGTTGGGCCAAGTCTTATACAAAACCAAATACTGGGGAGTGGGAAGGACCTTTAAGGAAGCAAGACAACCTCTGTTGCTCAGAGTGGCTGCCACAAATTGTCCAGTGTAGCCAACTGTTCTTATTGGCACAGCCCCTTGACCACAGACGTCGAGGACTTGAGGATGCACTGTTCGTTCTCTCTTGCTGGGACTATCACAAAGAAACTGGCCACCTCTATGAGCACTCTCACACAGACACAGAGCTCACACACGCTGGTAGACTGCACACGGAACTTTGGCCAACGTAGCTAAGGAACAGCCTTCATAGGGACAAGAAAGGCCTGGCCCTTCAGAGTCAGTGCAAACAGTCTTCTCCTTTGTCCCTGGTACCACAGATAGTCTCTACCATCACGCAGGCTGTTAGACATACCTGGGGGGGGGGGGCAACTCCCAAGTCAAAGTGCTTAGTGCCTAGGCAGGTTACCTCTTTCCATGTGGGTTAGGACCAAGGTGAGAGTGAGATACAATGAAGAGGTCCCCTGTTCCCCAACACCTCAAACCCAGGCCAAGACTCCCTATGGAGTCTGTTGAAGGACCCATCATCGGCTTCTTTAACTTCTTTACATGTGAGCAAACCTAGGCCCCCTGCATTCCCCCCTTTCCTTCCCCCTTCTTGACAGGTGTGTCTGACTCTGGCCTGGCCAAGCCAGACAACATGGTTTGGAATTTCTTCTCTCCCTCTGAGCACCAGAAAATGCCTACCAGAAATGGGTCTGCTGAGCTGGTGCCAAAGCAGAGGCAAGCTCCTGGAGGCATGCCAATGCAGGGAAAGCCCAAGATGCCTGGCAGTCTGGGCCACGGTGCCTCAGATAGGGAAGAGGCCTGTGTGGCACTCCCACCTCTGTGGCATTCTGGAGGTGGCTCCCTCAGTGGAGGCCCTGCATCACTGCAGGAAGCAGCTCCATGTTGTGGCAGAGGCCAAGGCAGGCCTCATAGGCTTCCCTCCCATGACCTCTTTCCACATTCTTCTTTTAGAGAGAGGCCCAGAGCCAAGGAGGCTCTCACATTCTATTCATCCATCGATTCCTCTGAGTGTGTGTGGGGAGGGGCAGATCAGCAACTGAAGAAGCACTTCTAGAGCCCAGCAAGAAGGTGAGGGGAGGAAGAGCCCTGGCAGGAGCTCAAGGGGGCCAGCGCACTAAGAGCTCTCCCTTTCCTGCTCTCTGTATCTCAGAGTCCATCACCTCATGGGCAAGTAGCCGTCCCCAGAGATCCTTCCCTTAGTTTCCATTTGCTCCAGCAGATTTTCCTGCCACTGCTTCCCCTGCAAGTCCATTTCATAAAATCATGGCCACTGAGGCACTGAAGCTCAGGTTAGGCCTAATACTCACAAACTCACATTGAATACTGCAACTAGAACAGGGCAATGGGGTGGTCGAGGTACAAACTTTTCTATGCTTAAGCAAATCTCCTCCTACTAGAAGTCAACAAGGAGTCAGTAAATGCACAGCCACTGGCCTCCTTTGTGGTCCATACACCACTAAGTACCTTTCAACCAAAGAACACTTGAACCTCTACCTATGGGGACCTGACCCATTGGCAGTTCCCTTTCAACCTACACCTGGGCTTTGGACGTTGTCAAACTGCAAAACCAGTGACGTTTCCCCACACTGAGCACTTGGAGCAGAGTCTAATGAAAGAAATCTAACCCTAAGGAAACTGCCTTTAGGAACTGCGGCCATGTCCTCTAAGTACCAGGAATGTCTCTAGCGTACCTTCCCGAAATGCAAGGGTTTACCCCACTTCAAACATCTAAAATACAAACAGGCAAACAGCACCCAAGGCCAACCCCAGCTCCCTCTTCCATGAAGCGGCCTCAGACAAAGAGACACAGATAGACACATACAGAGACGATGAGGATGGTTCACAGGGGCAGCTGAGACTAGAACGTTACCTATTATCGACAGGACAGCGAGTGTGATTCAGACCACAGCTTTCTCAAGTTGCCCCTCGACTTAGTTCATGTCTTAATTTCTATGCTCACTTCCGATTGGGATGCGGATCTGTTCTCAGCTTTCACAAGGAAGGCTTGTTTGTTTGTTTGTTTGTTTGTTTTTTGTTTTGGGATGGGAATGGGGTGTCCTGCCTGGTACTGTGCACACCTTCACCCTCTTTACTTTAGCCTCACTGTGGCAACAGATCTCCAGCAGCCCTCTACAGAATCATGCCCTTGGGCTGCACATTGCTATCACCTTCCACCCCAGGCAGTACCCTAGAAGGAGCGGCTGGGTGGCTCCCTGCTTTGAGTCATGGGACACCGGTCACTGGAAGAATCTATTTTGGCTGTGATCTGGGAAGTCCCTTGGCTCTGGGCTTGCAGCTGGTATAGAAACAAGGCCTTGGTCCCCTTCTGGTGGGGGCTATGCTGGAGATAAAAGGGGATCCCAGCATGAGCCTGGAGGTCCCTGGCAGTGGAGAAATGAACCCAACACTGTTTCATTGCTGGGATACTGGAAGAACTAATGACTGCATGTTGTTCCCTGCTTCTTCAACTAGCTGTTGTTAAAAGCACCAACAAGCAGTGAGAGGGGGCCTGCTGCCTACCATTTCCCTGCGGAAGGCCACACAGAGGGAGTGGGGCGCAGGAGGGACCAAGACACTGGGGGATGAAAGGGAGTAAGTGCCAGCCCCCAGCACTATGCCTGGGCACGAAGAGCCATCCGTGGGGAGGAGCTGGGGAGGGAAGAGTAGTGGAAGAAAGGGACAGAGAGGAGAAAAAAGTAAATACACCAAGCATCCTGTTGCCCTCTCCAGTGATTTTGTTAAGAACTGGGTGTTCTCTGAGTCAAGTCAGGACTTGCTTCCTCAGGGAGAAACAAACCAAAACAAGAAAACAAAAACAAAAAACAAACAAAATTAAACAAAACAAAAATCCAAGCACCTTCAGTCTATTTTCTTGGCTGGAAGCCGGAGCAAATCCAGCAGATATTTACACAAGGGCCCAGCCATGTATGAGAACAGGATGACCAGCTTCCCGTGGGTCATGGTCATGAGAGTCTGGTGTCCCGAGGCCCAGATGCGATACCAGGGGCCGTAGAATGGGTCTGAGATGGCCGGACACAGCATGTTGTTCAAATTCACTTCGGTGACCTGCAGGGACAAGGGAGGTAGAGTGAGCGTTCGCCATCCCGAGGCTTCCTCCGGCTACCGCCAGTTCAGCCATCTCTCCCTAGGGGTGACTAGACAAGGAGGGATTGACCAATCCCCGCCTGTTCATAAAGGGGCTTCTTTGCCCTAGGCTTTCTGAGTGGGTGATGATGAGTCAATGTCCTGGGCGAAAGCTGTTCGGTTTTGCACAGTCTTGCTTTCCAGTTGGGCCCAGAGTCCATTGCCATTCCTAAGCATTTATTGTGTGCCTAGCTCCTAGAGAAAGATTAGGTTCTTTTTTTTTTTTTTAAAGCTGTTAGCTGCATGGTCTCTGTCTCCAAGTAGCAAGGGCAATCATTGACTGCTTATGACCTCAAACTAGATGGTGCCCACTCAGCTTTACATGCCACGAGGAGGTCTGAGGAGCATACAGAAGATTTTGTGAAGGAAGTGGCACGTGAATGGACTCATGAAAGATGGACAAGGTTATGGCAAGGAGTGGGGGAGTCGAGCTTTCCTGGTGGGAGGTGTAGCAGCACATGGTATGTATGGTCACATGAGCACACCGACACTCCTGGAAAGCAGCATATCAGTGAGGAGCGGCAAGAGGGAAGGAGGGGTGTGTGCAGGTCAGCATCATGCCGAGGCCTCCTGTAAGCACACTACTGGCAAAGAACCCAGCCTACCTCCGGCAAAGCAGAGCGAGGAAGACAAAGTGGGCGCCTCTCCAAAGGCATTGGGGACATCCAGTTACACGCCCGTATCATGCAAGGCTGCACAAGGCTCCACATGACTAACGCTGCGTTAATGCCAACCACACAAAACCAAACATGGCGTTCCTGCCTCAAGGACAGAAATAACACCTGCCTTCCAGAGCTCTTCAGAGCTCACTCACATTAAAGACAAGTCCTCACCATCTCTCAAGGAAGCTAGGCTTCTGTATCCTGTTAGAGTGAGGTGGAAAACTCCCTGTCCCCACACCCAACCATGAGCTTTCTGTCCTCACTTCAGCACTGATACATACCCTTGCAGTTTCGGCGCTATTGGACTCTGGGTATTTCAACATTGGGGCCAGCCATTTTTCATATTCCAGGCACTTCTCATACTACAGAATGCTCTGGGGCTCCCAACACCTCACATACACTGGCCACACAGCTGAAGGAAGGGTCTCCTGAAGGACTTGGGAGAATTCCCAGAGTGGACCCAAGGTCAGAGGCCGTCACAAGGCCCAGGGCCATCAGGATAAGGATCCTACATGCCCATGAGGTCCACAGCAAAGCACTTGCCAGTTACAGGTCACTGTTTCAGACCCAAGTAGTCATGAGTGAAGGGTATCCTTGCATCCTCAGGAATGAAGGAACGACCATTACTGAAGGATTCAGAAAACTCTTCGAAGAGGCCAAAGCTTTGGATCATAAATCAGCATCCCAGACACAACAATCTGACGTCCTGGCCTTTAGCATCATGTATTTTTCAAAGCAAAATGATACAACAGCACCAAGCAGGATTATCAAGATTTATGAAGAACTCCAAATAGAGGGGAGAGAAGGGGATCTAAGCAAACTTACCAGGCCGAGGATCTGCAGGATGCTGAAGTGGTAAAAGAACATGAGACCCGTCGAGAGAAGAGCCCACCGGAAACTGCTGAGGGGCTCTGGGGTGTAAGCACCTGGAGGAAGATGGGAGATGGTGAGCCGAGGGGAATAATGACCCACTTCTCCTCCTCTGCTCACAGGGGTGCAGGTGCTGAGGTCCCAGCCACAGCTGCAGCAGGCTTGGGGTCGCTTCCACTTGTCAATGACAGAACCTTCCAAGGGCCTCGATGCTTAGCTAGGAACCATGGTAGCCCTTTCTCGACCCCGGTTTCTGCCAGTTGATTACACCATTAAAAAGAGAGGTTTCTGTTTTAGTCTGAAAGTCATTCATGATTATTAAAGGCGATTTAGAGTTTAAAAAAAAAAACAGAAAGAAGATAGAAGCAAAGGAGGAAATCATTCCCAGCACTTGATTCCTAGAATAGAACCCTCACTAATAACATGACTGTGTCTCTTTCGTCATTTTCTCTGTGCCCCAGGATTAAGCTTTAAAATTAATACTTAAATTAGTACTATCTGTATATGTAACTGTCTTTGTGTCTATATTTATTTCCTCATGATTCTAAACAGTATGACACAGTAGTTGAAATGTTAATGTTGAAGTCAGATAGATTCGGGTTCAATTTTTTGTTTGTTTGGTTTTGGTTTTTCCGAGATAAGGCTTCTCTGTAGCCTTGGCTGTCCTGGAGCTCACCCTATAGACCAGGCTGGCCTCGAACTCAGAGATCCACCTGCCTCTGCCTCCTGAGTGCTGGGATTAAAGGTGGGTGCCACCACCGCCTGGCAGATTTGGGTTCAAATTTTGACTCTACCATTCATTAGCTGTTTGACTCTGAAAAACTTTCAAGAATTTTGCAAATCTTACTTGCCCATCAAATTGGGATAGTTGTGTCCCCAAAGTCTGGTCCAACATGGCTACTCAAGGAGCATCAATGTTCTCTTCCCATCAACCTTCAATCTAGAGCCCTTGTAAGTGTTTTATCGAGTGGTTGTGCCATTTGCCACCTACTGAACGACCCCTCCCAGGAACACCGAGTGATGCCTTTCCTCTCCTGTTACTGCTGGCAACTACTATCCTTGTAGACCTGCATGTATGTCAGAGCGCACAGAGCAGGGACATGGTAGACAAGGTGCTGCAGGTAGCTCTCTGGTTAGGCACTTGGAAGGTGTGCTTCAGAAAGGGACCGGAAAGACACCTTCCCATCCCCCAAAATGGGGGTGATGCCATCTCCTCCTACAGTAGTGTTTGCCCACGCCAGCCTTTCACTGATTCGTTCCTTTGTCCAACAGTTGTTTGTACCTTGCAGATTTTGTAATAAGGCGAGGCCCCGACAGTTTGAGAACTACAGGCAATAACGACAATACAGAAAGCTGGGGGTGGGGTGACTGAGATCAGTGCTTCCAGTTATGGGAAGACAAAACTCAACCTGGGAGTGGGAGGTGGAGGTGAAGGTAGGGTAAGGAATGTTTCTTGATAGAGGCAGCATTAGAGCAGAGTCCTGAGAAACGAGTGGGACTTCAGGAGGGCCCCAGGCCTTTCGATCTGCACCCAGGCAGACATGAGGCAGGAAATTCAGAGCTGTATAGTAAGAGTTCGGTGGCAGTAGTGGGGGTTGGGATGTGAGGGTTCAACAGGTAAACTTGTGCGTTGTTCATGCCTGGTGACCTGATCCTGGGAACCAAGTAAAAATGCCAGATGTGGTGGGGCACATCTGTAATCTCAACACTCCTATGGTGAGATGGGAGGCAGAGACCGAATAATCCCCGGGAAGGTTGTGGTCCAGCTATCCCAGAGAACGCAGCCCAGCAGAAACAAGAGACATCCTGCCCCAAAACATGGTGGAACAAGATAACCAATTCCCAGAAGTTGTCCTCTAAGTTCACATACATGTTGGGGCACATGCACGCCCACACTCACATAAATACATCTTTCTCACAAGCACATACAACTCTCTTTCACACACACAAATAATAATAATAATAACAATAATAACAACAACAATTGTAATAGTAATCATGAAATAATTCAGTACAGTCACAGGGAGAATGTAATGGAGGCAGTGAGTAAGTGGCTAGCAAAGCTGGTCTGACCCAGACTGAGCCATGTGAGCCTCAAGGAGCTAGGCTGAGGGCTTTGGGCTACGTGCATCTGTTGAACTGCAAGGTCAAATATGTCATGTCTTACAAAGATTCTAGGAAGTGGGAGCATGACTAGGACTCAGAGATCCTCAGGAACTCTAGAGACTGGTAAACAGCCCACACCCTTTCTAGAGAGTGCGGCCACCACTTAGTTCTGCCATCCTAGACTATGGCTCAAGGTGCCTGTTTCTTGCTTTTTCAAAAGAAAGCGAGAAACATGAAACTTTATGTGGAATGTCCTGCTGTTTAACTGCAGGCAACTATTCAAACTGTCTTAAGAATGCTCAATGGGCCAAGCACAACACGTATTCCAGATGGATTTCAGTCCCTGGGCGGCCATCTCCGCCGTGCTCTGCTCCAGAGCCACCACTAGCGGCAGCGAGTTTGAGGAATGTGAGTTCTGGTCATTCAGATGAAGGTACCAGGGTCAGTTTAGAGCAGAGAGAGGAAAGGCAGGGTGCTGACAAGGGAGGGGGCCGCTCCAGGAGCCTAGAACAAGGTCGTTTCTGTAGGGAAAGCAGCAAGAAATGAAGAGAGGAGTGAAAATCACAAGGATCTGGTAGAAGACAGGAGGGTGGGGTCGAGGGGGAGGAAGGACAGTAGTGACTCTCAGAGTCGTACTAGTAGCTTGCCATCACTGGATTGGTGACGCCATTTATTGCAATGGCAAAGACAGGCAACAGCTGATTGAAGCAAGCGTAAGGAAATGACGAAGTCCATTGTAGACATGTTGAAAACGGAATAGCTGTGTCTATGCAATATCCACATAGAAACATTCCTACAGGGACTGTATAGACTCTAGAGTGTGATGGGTGACATTGTGGATACCTGGAGCCTAGAAGGGGGACGTACTCAAATCCCAGTTCTATCACTTATGGATTTCAGAGCTTTGGACAAATCGCAGTATCTCTTCAACTCAGTTTTACTCATCTGTCTAATGGAAAAGGCGCCATCTCATTCCCAGAGCCGTTGGTCAGATGAGATAATACAGGGATTTATGATATGAGCCACAAACTCCATGAAGAGGATAAGGTGAGCATACAAAGATGCGGGGGTGGGGTGGGGAGGCATCAGCACAGAGCAGAAAACAAAATCATGGAAACATGTACACAGAGAAAGAGTAATAAGTCCAACAGCAACACACCAAGGCACAAGTGTAAGACGGGGCAGAAAGAAGGCCGTAAGTGGGGCTATCCTGTGACGTTCGCTCTGGCCATGGTGAAGTGTCTGCGGTTTAGGATTTTGTATTGCATTGTATTTATTGCTATCTTTAGCCACATTCGGCCCATGTGTTGGACACACCTTTGGTACCCAATGTTCCACACAGTCTTTCCAATAGCCCACACAGCACTTGCTTGGTAACAATGCATTGAGCAATATACTGGGAGTGTGAACACTGGTCTGTCTGATAAATGAGTGTGGCCTGGATACCACGTTTGCTGCCCCACTTTCCGAGGGCACACAGGGGAAGAAGAGACCTGGAAAGCCTCCATTCATCACTTTCTCAGCTGCCTTTTCCTTCCCTCTGACTTCTGCTCAACAGCCCCTGCCCCAATGCAGCTGAGTGGCAGTGACATGCCTCAGATGCCCAGTGTGGTGCAGGAATGGACTTATAGACTTGAGCGTGCGTGCGTGCGTGCGTGCGTGCGTGCGTGCGTGCGTGTGTGTGTGTGTGTGTCCTCACCCAGGATGAGCTCAGCAGCCATAGTCCTAGGGAAGAAGGGAATGAAGGTTCAGGCATAGGACAGTTGTCCCTTCCCTGTGCTTCTCGTGTTGTGTTGTGTGTTCTGAGATACTGTCAGGGGACATGTGTTTCAGTGGCCTCACTGACCCTCTGCAAAGCCCCGTTTGTCCCATGCCTTCTGTGCCGCATCAGCTCTCTCAACCACACTGACTGTTGACGGAGGGAGGGGCTTTTCTCCTCAGGCCTGGATGAACAGTGGACACTCAAATGCTCACTACATGGGCCGAGTGGTGGCACAGACTTGCTGAGGAATCCTAAAAATTACTTTGATCCAATGCTAGTACTCTGAAGACTATCTTCAAACACATATAAAACCCAACCCACAAACCACCCTTACCTGCACAAAGGTATTTAGACTTGTTTTCTCTATAATACTGAGAAACTGGAAACAAACCAACTAGGGAGATAGTTAAGTAAACTACAATACTTCAATATTGTGTAACAGTCCACTGCCATTCAAATGATACCCAGATTGTCCATGCATGAAGAAACCAGTACCCGGTGAGAAGCAACAAGTATAAAAGGCAGAACTTCAAACAGTACAGACATGAAAGAAAAGACAATGTAGTAGCTTAAAAACAAAGGCCTGGGGGGGGGGGGGCGGTCAGGCATCGTCACATTCCCCAGGGGAATGGCCGTGAGCAAATCACACTTCCTTTAAAGTTGTTTTCCTGCGCAGGAACTAGAGATAGCAGCATCCACTTCTCAGGACTGAGGAGTGGAAGAAGACATTACCAAAAGCAGAGCCAGCAGCCGCCTAGCACGGAGCTACCTATTTTCACCCCAGGGATCACAGGCATCCCAACTCATACACAGGCAGGAAGAGGAGGGGTATTCTGGGGAAATGGGGAAACAGACACCTCCTCAGTGAAGGGAGACTGCCTGTGGCAAATGTGATCCAATCCTCCATTGCCTTGAAAAACCACAGTAAAAAGGCATCCTGTGCACTGATGCACAGCCCATAGGGATATATGCAAATCGTATGCAAACCCACATAATTCTCTTTGCTGGATACCTGGATGTGGCCCTTGGGGTAATCCTAGTGAAAAACCAGTTTTCTTCGAGAGGAAAACAGAAACTGAATCACATTCAGGAAAATTCAACACATCATAAAACTCGTATGTGACATTTTTCTGCTAGCATCTTCTATCCCAGGAGGAAAGAGGCACGTCATCAGTAAAGGTAGGGGGA